CCACTCCACCAGCAACGCAGGGGGGGAGTCTGTGCGGTGTGTGTGAGAGCGGTGTCTCAAGGAGAGGGTGTGTGTGTGTGGAAGAGCGGTGTCCCGACGGCCTCTGGAGCCAACCTTGAGGGTGGCGCCCATGTCGCGGCAGAAGATGAGCCAGCTGTGCCACCCAAACTCTCCGACGCCGTGGATCTTGTGCCCCCCCTGCTCGCGCTTCTTCAGGTCGACCGCGAACGCGTCCTCCCCCTCCGCGGGCAGCAGGAAGGCGGTCGTGATGGCGAGCAGCGACCTAGGGTTGGGGAGAGGGTGGGGGTGAGGGTGGGGGTGAGGGTGAGGGTGGGGGTTGAGGAGAGGGGTAGGGGGTAGGGTCAGTGATGGCGAGCAGCGAGACGGTCGTCGAACTAGCCGAGAGATGGGGAGAGGTGGGGAGAGATGGGGAGAGATGGGGAGAGATGGGTAGATATGGGTAGAGATGGGGAGAGATGGGGAGAGGTGGGGAGAGATGGGGAGAGAGGGGGAGAGAGGGGTAGATATGGGTAGAGATGGGGAGAGATGGGGAGAGAGGGGGAGAGAGGGGGAGAGATGGGGAGAGATGGGGAGACACTTGAGACGGTCGTCGAACAGGCCGAGCGAGTTGACCAGACCGCGCAGCGCGTCGACCTGAGGTAGGGCAAGGAGAGGTGAGGCGAGGTGCACTTCTCCACACACACACACACGGCGGTGGTGGGGCAAGGGCCAGGCTGGTCCCTCGCGACTCCGCGTCTAAGGCACACAGGGGCGGGCCCGGCATTCAGAGTGCGAGGCCCGGTGCGCGTGGGCGCGTCGACCTGCCCGCGCTGCACCAGATGGGGAGAGGTGGGGAGAGATGGGGAGAGATGGGGAGAGATGGGGAGAGATGGGGAGAGATGGGGAGAGATGGGGAGAGGTGGGGAGACGACTCGAGACGGTCGTCGAACTAGCCGAGAGATGGGGAGAGATGGGTAGATATGGGGAGACATGGACCTGCCCGCGCTGCACCACCTCTGCCTGGAAGGCCGATGGCGTCGGGTAGGCCGCAAAGAAGGCGGAGATGCAGCGGTGCCTAGTGGGGTATGGGGCGGTCGTTTTGCTGTGAAAGAGAG